TTTTTTCTTCCATTCACATTTCTATTGATATCCTGTGAAAGAACAGTATGTAAACGGTCAGATTCTTGGTCTGGTTGACTGTTAGACAACTCTCAAGTCAGCGGTCTTCTCCATCATTGTGTATACCATAATGTGACAGTTCCTTATCATAATCCCTTTTTTTTTTAGAATCCAAAATTTCCGAGAAACTTTATTTTTTTGTTCTCATTACCTGTAAAGTTAGATTGTCCAGAAAAAGAGAAATATATTGGTATGTTTAATGGCTGCAACAAAAAATTATTTTGCAAATAGATTAATCTGTTGATAATTTTTTTTTATAAAAAAAAATCAGAGGTTCATTAAACTGAAGTTTAACGAACCTCTGATAGCCAGAGGTTCATTACAGGAGACTTTTAAAAAATTAAACCAGGTGAAACTAAAACTTTTCCACTTGAGAAGTTCTGGTTAGAACATATTAACAGACAAAAATATAGATTTTTTTAATCATTAAATGTAAAATATTTATATATTTTTTTACATTTTTGGTGTAATTACTGCCCTTAATTTGATACTCTGTCAGCTAAAGGCATGTTTTAGACTTTCTATACTCCGGTTAATGATTAATCAGTCTAAGTATAATAAAAGTTTAACGCAGTGACAAGAACTGCAGACAATAAATAAGAGTAAATAGAGGACAAGCTATTAAATTGCATTAAATGCATTTTTTTTTATTATGAGATTAAGTGTATTTGCTTGATAATGTCAATGCTGCAGTTAATTTATTTTCCCTTATATCATCCATATTTATGATATGTATTACCTGCTCCCTAACTTTCTGTCCCCATCATTGATTTTTGTTTTTTTTATTAGGAATATGTACAAGGCCATCATTGTGATTCATGTCGTCGTGGTTACCACACCCTTGAGCATCGCAACAGCCTGGGCTGCCTGCCGTGTCTATGTGACATCAGTGGAACTTTGTCAGAGGGTGTGTGCAGTAAGAAGACAGGACAATGCCCCTGCAAGGAAGGAGTCGAGGGAGCCCACTGTACCAGCTGTATTCCAAACTACTATAATAGTAGTTTGGACCATGAGAGTAAGAAAAGTCAAAACTGAAAACTGGATTCTCTTCAACATGTTAGGCCTCTTCCTTTTAAATAAGTTTAGAAGCTTCACTTTTATTGTTATAGCTTGATACTTTGTCACATAAAAACCTTGTTTCTATTTATGTCAGGTTTTTCACAGGGCTGTGTGCCATGTATCTGTGACCCCAGGGGAACAGTGACAGGGTCAACATGTGACAGCAACACGGGGCAATGTGTTTGTATCCCATCGCGACAAGGAAAGGACTGCAGCAGCTGCCGACCTGGTGGGTTGAAAAAATGAATACATTATCAACAAGATTAAAAAGGAAATTAAAATTGTTTTTATATTTTTGTGTGAAAAATAGAATATAAATAATTCCAGACTTTGGGTTTTGGAAAGTTCAGGTTACTTATAATTTTTTCATATTTTTTAGTCTCTCTTTCAATTTTCTTCTTCTTGTTGCTCAGTTGAAACAAAAATGGTCTTTATTTTACCTAGTTGTTATCCTGAATCGTCTTATGTGATAAAGCATCAAGATACTTGTAATGGTGGATCTGAGAACAAAGGGCAAAACAACAAAAAACAAATAATTATCACTTCAATAAACATTGTACCTCATAGAATATATTTTATTTAAAAAGATTTGTTTTATTTTATATTCCGTTAACACTGATGATCTAATTTGATCAGTACACACAAGAACTGTTCATCCAGAGAAATGTTGTTTTATTTGCACAAAGTTTTAAAAGCTCAGGTCACCAGGATGTCTTCTGCCGCTATTCAGTTCTAATTTTCAATTTTTGAATTGTAGCCATTTTCTTTTAGTACCTTTCCTCTCGGGGACTAAATAAAAGATGTTTACTGCATATTCGAATTAGCCAACCTATCAAGTTACTTGACATTATGACACGAAACAGTTCACATTCCTACATCTTACTCGGACAAATGTTTTTGGACTCTGAGAAAGGCATCTGGGTGGCATCTGAAACAGATAGCCAAACCCTTTAGCTGAATCCTCTCAATGTGGAGGAGAAGCAGCTCCAGACCATGCCTCTTCTGCATCACAGAGCACCTCTCTGAGGGAGTACCAAGCTACCCTGCAGAGAAAACTCATTTCAACCGCTTGTGTTTGGGATCTTGTACTTTTGGTCATAATCTAGACTTTTTTTACAGTAGTTGAGGGTAGGAAGTGAGGCCATTTGGTTTAAGGCTCTATTCACCACAACAGACCTGTCTGTGTCTGCATGATACCAGCTCCGGTACCATTTATCCCTCTATTGATCTTTCTCTCCCTTTTCTCCTCACTTTTCAACCGGATACCTCTATAGACAATTGAAGTCCTCCAACCTAAAGAGGACAAGCCAGATTTTTTCATGCAAAATACCATGGCCTCACACTTAGAGGAGCTGATCGTTATCCCAGGGGCTTCACACTCAGCTGCAAAACACCACCATGCACACTATAGGATATGTCTGTAGGGAGCCAGGCCACTTGAACTTCAAAAAGTAGGAATGAAATCCACTGGTCCTCAAACCAGATCCCCATATTAACCGGACAGGTGACAGAGGACAGACGAACCTGCTCTGCTTGTACAGTGACTGTGGTCCCTAGTGAAAGGATCCCTGACTCTTTACTCCTGGAGCGCCTCCCACAGGTCACCATGTTGCACACAGTCAAATGCCTTTTCCAAGTAATCAAAACACACTTTGATTGGTTGGGCAAACTCCCATGAACCCTAGAGCACCCTGCAGAGGGTGTAGAGCTGGTCCATAAATGGTTGCTTTAAACTGTATGTAGCTGCACTGAAATACTTTTTCCTTGTATTAATGTAAGCCACACTGTTTAAAGTAATAAAGCTGTTCATTTTTGTTATGTGTTTCTTCAAAATACTGCGTGGCATGTTTGACTCCAAGATCAATTTAATTACTTTTAAACATATTTTTACACAGGCTTCTACCTCAGCCCAGATCATAGCATGTGTTTGGAGTGTGACTGCCATCCTATGGGAGCAATGCAACTTAGTTGTGAAAGCCAGAATGGACAGTGTGTCTGTGCTCATCCCTCAGTGGGAGGAAGACGCTGTGACCAATGTCGTGAGAACTTCTTTGGATTTAACCCTGGTCTGGGAAGGTAGGCTACACAAAATCTCTCTTATGTTGGTGATGAAACCATGCAAATATTCAGTCATTCATATAATATATAGTCATCCATACATCATAAATTAACTGTAATGCTGCTGTTTATGCTGCATTAAAACAAAAGTTATTAATTCAAATATCTATTTATAGAATGCAGTTCTCAAGGTACAATCTCTGGAGAAAAAAAAAAAATGTAGAACAGTGAGCAGACAGATGACTTACACCAGTTAAGAACTGCTTTGACCTTTACTTCTCATGTTGCTACCTGCAGGCCATCTTGCATGCTCACAGAGCTTAAAATGCTCATCCACAAATAACCATTCATTTTGGACACAGTATTAAAAGGACACAGTATTAAACTTGTCCATACACACACTCTACAAGGTTTCATAGTAGATGGATTGACCACAAACTGTTTGACCAGTTGTCCACTCTGTGTGTGTACATTGGTATATTGATGCGTGTTTTAGCTGACCTTGTCTGATAGCTTTAGTTTCTGGTGTGGCTTCATTAGAGGTGACATCAGGCTGTGTCTGAGATCTTTCATCTGTGAAGAGGATGGAAAAGGAATGAGATTAAAACACGCATTTATGTATTGCTCACTATTTTTAAGATAGAAAAAAAATTTTTCTTAAAAAAATAGTTTAATGGAGCAAACCCTAGAACAATTGGTTTTCAATAATTTCATAATTATGATAGTTTTGTTTTCATACTTTAATGAATCCTTAGTTAACTATCTCTACTTTGAAATTGTACATAATATGAATAAAAATAAACTGGTCAATATTTTAGTAACTTGTTCCTTAAAGGTATAGTGGAGGATTTTGACGTACCCGCCCTCTCCACTTAAAAAAGAAATGCACATGCGAACCCCCTCTCGAGAGGGAATGCCTATTAACATGTGAGAGCATGGTCGGGCTCACTTCTCCTCATGTACACTCTGTTTAAAAGTTGCTGTTTGCATCACTCATACAAGCCAAAAGATTTGCACTTTTACCACTATATCAGACTCACCACCGTAAGTGGAAATGGGGACAGCCTTGTGTAAACATATCAGCAGAATGATTAGGAGGACCACTTATTTTCATAATCCACCTGGAAAAAGAACGTCCTCTATACCTTTAAATCTTAGAAGTTCCCAAACACTGAATTTGATTTCTGAATCCTGAAATGTTTATTTCATTTATTTATTTTATTTATTTATTTGTTTATTTATTTATTTGTTTATTTATTTCGAACAGACAATAAAAACAATCAAGAAAGAAAAAAAAATTTGAATGAAACAAACTTAAGGATGAAAATATAAAACAAATTATTTTGCCCATGTGACATGCAAATTTTATATTTTCTGTTCGAAAAGGAGCAGGTAGAAGATACATCTTATAATGTCCTGCCCCTTTCCTACTTGTCAATTTATCATCAATTAACTGTCAAAACATCAAAAAACAAAAAAAAAAAACACTTGTTTCCATTCCACATGATGTTTAGCCATGTACAATTATTTTAAGTACTATTTATGTCATCAATTACATTATAGACTATTAAACAGTCATCTTATATAGCATATTTTGAAATGAGCTCGGTTTGATAAAGGGGATTGACACAGAACCAATGCACAGCAGGCTTTTTGCTTAAACATCGATTGAAAAGAGCTCTATTAGATGAAATAAGCTTGGAATATTGTTCAATAGCCTACCTGTATTTTAAACTTCTCTCCAGTTTTATCCCTGACCTGTCTCCTATGTTCTTTGATTTATGTATTACTATGTATTTTTTACCACTTATCCTTACCCAAATCTTCTTAACCTTTACAGAAGAGCTTTATTTATGCTGAGATTAAATTATAAACATGTGGACTATTTATACTAATTGAGTTAGTTCTGATGTAACTGATTGCACTGCCTTTTTATTGGGATATCAGAGTTAAGGGGACTGATTGTGAATGTACTGTAGACTTTAAAATTGTATTTGTTGAACATTTTAAAAGCCTTTTATCCTTTTTCTTTCCACTTCACTATAATGATGTACTACTATTCCAAGAGGTATAAATAAGATAGGCTCTATTTGTAATAAAGTATAAGTATAAAGATTATTTTGAAGTTTGATCTCATCATTGTTAACTCCAAACTTCGTTATAAAATTGGCTTTATTGGATTCTCTTTAATGGCATTAAAATAGCACAAACAATAAATTTTTAGGCTCATTGATGGAGGTAAGACTCGGTGAAATGTTGGTGTTTCTCCTTGGAAAAGGGAGTGAAGGTCGAGTCACTGTGGCATTTTCTGTATCAGAGAGTGTATGCTTGTTGGTGCACCAGTTGACAGGACAAATTTGCGCCTCTTTACGAGACTCTGGCTTTTCACACTGCAATAAAAAAGGTGTACTGGTGTTTGTGTGAGAGAGAGAGAGGGAGAGAGACTTATAACATGTGAGTATAATATGCAGCAGAATAAAAACACACATCAATAATGTCTGTGAGTAGGTGACAGTAGCCTGGTTCTTACCGTGTCAGACTGGTGTGTTTGAGTGTGTGCTAAACGTTCTCCAGCACACAGAATGCACCACACGTTTTTGTGTGTTTGTAAAGGTGTAAGGTGGGTGGCCGTATGCTAACCTACTGTCCTGCCCCTGTGGGGGTAACACCAAACCAGTGACCTAGACACAGACACCGTCAGAAAAATACATGCAGCCTCACAAATGGACACTCTTTGGCAACTCTGATGGGTATGAAGTTAATATCACAGCTATGAGGCGAGATGGATGGTGGTTAGGATTTCCCCTCACAGTGTTAAGGAGATGACCCAGCACTTCTCACTGTGAAGCACACATACAGTAGACACACACTCAATCTCAAGTCCTCTTTAAACATTTAAAAAGTTTCTTTTTTAAATTCATTTCTATTTCATGTTTATTCTGCAACATTTGGAGAGATTATTTAGAACCGTGATCTACCTGTAAATATACCCATGATGAGAAGTGTTATTAAAGATTTTAAATCAGATTTGGAATTTTCTTAGATTATTACCTTTCAGCTCCAAGCCACAAAAAAAAACTTCATAATGTATTTTTCAGAGACACTGAATTTTGAGTTTTTGTCATCTACAAAAAGATCTCTCGATGTTTGTCGAGTCTGTATGATAGTTTCTCCTTCTCTTTCTGATTACATTTAGTATGGCAAGAAAATGCCTCATACTATTGTTCCTTTGAACTCATGTACTGCAGCCTCATGGAAATGTGTGTTAGAATAACACAGGGTTTCCACAGGTCGTTAAAAATCATTAAAAGTCATTAAATTATTATTTTTTAAATTAAGGCCTTTATTGGCATTAAAATTCATAAAATTTTTAAAGTTGCATTTAAAATGCTTTATTAAAAAAAAGTTTATATAAACAATTTTGTCAGATATTATATCAGATATAACTGGTTCCACGTGTTTGTGCGGAACTGCTTCCAGTTCCAAACATATATAAAACCGTATCTTCAGAAAAGAAGCTACAGGCGGAGAAAAAGCTAGGGTATGGGAAAATACAAATTTCAACAAAGGTGGCTGGAAAACGAGGATTTCGGGACATGGATATGTTTATGTGAGAATCATGGGTACTTGTTGATGGCATTAATTCAAAAAGCATTAAAAATCATTAAATTACAGTTACTCACTCCTGTATAAACCCTGTAACAATAGAAGTAGGGGACAGGTTGTAACAAACTCTACATCTAAGTTCTTAATTCTAAAAGTGGTTAAGATATCTCTAACATCAAAACTTTTTGGTCTGCTTTAAGATGATTGGAATTGCTTCCCAAGATTGTCTACTTTTCTGGTGGCAGGTATAAAAGCTAATCTGGACTCTAGTCTGAATTAGATAAGTTGTTTTGTAAAATTTATATATTATATTAATCCTGTTGTGCAATAGTGAGGGCATTTGAGATTGGGAAAAGGCACACCACTTTTTCTAAAGATGTGATTGTGGAATGTTTTATTGTGGGGAGGGGAACAAGAAAGTCTAATGTAAGCGTTCAGGTGTGACCATAAACAGGTTTTATGGTTTTGGGGTTTTTTGGGGTAATTTAGAAATTATTAACCTCATAAACATTAGAGAAGTTCTGAGACAGAAAGAACTTTGTTGTCCTTCACAGAACACTATGAACCCTTAAAGTTTACTGATTCTGTACTGAATGGGAAATACATTATCATAACTCTTCTTCCACTTCTGTTTTTCAACAGATGTCAGCCTTGTGCTTGTGACCCATTCGGCAGTCTCAATAGTTCATGTGATCCAGACACAGGTGTGTGTACATGTAAGCTGTTGGTAACTGGAGATAAATGTGATTCATGCCAGCCTGGAGCCATTTCATTTGATCCAGAGAACCCCTTCGGATGCAGCAAAGGTCAGGTCAATCCGTTTTGATTTGACTGATGCAGTTTAGCTGCTTTTGAAATTAATATATTTTTATATTTCTCTGATTCCAACATTGTTTTGGTTTCTCTGTGCAGCCCCTTCCCAGCAGCCTGCACCACTTGGTCTGGCTCCTAGTTACTCCTCAATCTATCTCTCGTGGCATCCACCTGACTCCCCAAATTCACACAGACTCAACTACACTCTCATGAGGGATGGACTCTCAGTTCATACCATTCAAAGTCATTTTCCATTTAGTATGTATCACTCAAGCTTTTCAGAGGTTTTATTGTCCTTAATTTTAGTTATATGGTATGAATATTCTTGTCTTCATATTTTCTGACATAATTTTATATTCTTTTTTTTGAGAACTGGAATCCTTTGAAGATGGTAATTTGTTTCCATTTACCAACTACTCCTACTGGCTCATAACAGCAAATGTGGCTGGTGAGACAATAAGTGCATCAACCTCCTACCAGACTTTAGGAGCACCTCCTTCTGCAGAGCAGCTTGTCTTAAACCTCCTTGGACGACCAGGTCCATACAGTGCAAGCTTTAACTGGAGCATACCGAGAAATGATAAAGGTCCAGTCCAAAGGTAAGGAATATGTATTAGAAAAAGCAAGCTAGCAAGTTAGTAATGGCCAATAAAAATAAAATCAAAACCAGCTGCATAGTAAGAGATCTTATCTTGAAGATCTTGATGCAGAAAATCACCGATCAACATTTCATTGTAAAATATCTAACAATTTAATTTGACATGTTTCATGTTCAGTGTTTTATTGTGATTCATTGTTCATATCAGGTGGGAAGTTCTACCCTCAATTGAACACAGAAGGTTTAGGTTTTTGTGCCAGTTTTTATACATCAGAGGACAGTTGGTGATTTCCTCATTATGATTCGCTCTCACAGCTACATACTAGATGGAGCCGGTCCAGTTTAAACAGAGAAACCGACACACATTGCAGAGTAGTAAAAAGCAAATTTGGGTTACAGATTTTGCTTGCATATTACTATTTTACTTGCGTACATACTTGCAATACTTGTGATAAATGAGGGTGTGGTTAACAATTTCTGCAAGATGCCAAGCATGAATGCTTAGAAAGACTTAGACTTAGACTTCTTTATTTGTCATTTTGTATGCACAGAGTGCATACAGAACGAAATTGCGTTACATACAGCTTATGAACGTTGCATTGATATTTCAAATAGCACAAGTTATAGAAAAATACAAAAAGTGCAGCAGTGGTCAAAGTGTGAACAGTGCAGAGGATAAGAGACAGTGTGCAAGTTGCAGTGGAAAGTATACATTTCAGCAATTGCAATATGAATGGGGAGTTTTGGTTAAATTTATTAGGTCATATAAAAGTTTTTTTAATATCCAAAAATAGATATAATGCTTTAAAAACCTGGGTGGAAATTTTAGCTGAAGTTACTGTAAAGCAGGGTTTCTTAACCCCAGTCTTCAGGGCCCACTGCCCTTTCATGTTTTAGATTTGTCTACTCAAGCACACCTGACTCAAATTATTGCATTTCCTTGTCAACAGCAATCATATGCAGCAAAAGCCTGTTAACTACCTTTTTATTCAGGTCAGGTGTGTGGAGGCAGGGAAGCACCTAAAACATGTAGGACAGTGGGCTCTGAGGACCAGGGTTAGGAGACCCTGGTCTAAAGTATATATCGTCACAATAACTAATTCAATCTGCTATGTTTAAAATCTAAATTTAAAGATTGAGTTAGGTATTAAAAGGGACAGTGTGTAAGAAATCTACATTGGCGCCGCTTTTACAGTTAATTTTACGCACTGTTTTTTAAGTACGGTAGTTTCAATCTTGTGGATTACATGTTTTAGGAACCTTGTCAAACTTTGGCAAAGAGAATCATGAATAATTTAACCCCATGTATTAATAATATAATAATAATTAGCCCTAAATCAATCATGTGTACAGAACCGCAAGATGTAGGAAATGATGAAAATGTTCCTGTCGAAATATGTTCACCAAATGTGGGCTTATATTTTAAAGTTATTGTCCACATGTTTACATGTTTAAAATATTGTTTTTATACCCCATTTGGCCCCTACTGTACTATACTTGTGTATGTCTATAAATTACTGTACAGTAACATAGTGCAGTGAGTGACAGTGTTGTTCATTTTTTCTTTTAATTGCCTTTTTTAGGTTTGTTTTATCCTCAGTGGGGTCATCTAATGAAGCAGAGCCAGTTATTCACTACACAGGTTTATCTACAGAGGCTGTGGCTAGCGGTTTAAAGTCCTTTACGCAGTACTCTGTAACATTGAAGGTAGGTGTGCCAAGGAACCAGTTAAAAACAGCTTAGTATTTTACTTTTTTTTTTTTTTTTTTTTTAAATACGTGAACCTTCTTTAATTAAAATCACAAGTTGTCTTAATTTACAGGCATGCTCTTCTGGCGGTTGCACCTCTGGCCCACCATTGTCTATTCTCACAGCTGCTGCACCCCCACAAAACCAGTCTGCTCCCAGAATCAATGCTACAGGACCTCATACGCTGCATGCTTTTTGGGAGCCCCCTAGTCAGCCCAATGGTAAACTTACACACACACAATATACATTTAATACAAAAACACATAATCATTAATTGAGTTTTTGATGTATTACAGCATAATAATTACGAAACGCATACAGAGTTATGTCAATATAAATGATGTAAATAAACACAACCTGCAGTAAAAACATATTTTTGACAAACAAGCGTACCCAATAGGCGAGCTGTTTACCTCTGCTTGCTCAAGCTGAACAGGAATGACATAACAATTCACAAAAACACAAACTCACACAAACTGTATACATACACACTGAAGTGGAAGTGCCTTTGGTAAATCCAGAGAGCTTTGTAATGGCTCTAAGGCTCTGAGGCAAACATAGCTGTACAACCTGAGTTTTTCCTAGTTTTCATTTCTCATCATTTTGCTGTTATTGATCAATCTCCCCCCAAACTGCTGTGAACTCGCATTAGATGTTTCGTTTTGTTTTCTGTGTTTTTCCAGTATTGGTTTAAGCATGTCTTCCCTGTAATTATTTTTCTAAGAAAAACTCAGTCTTAATGTGCACCTTTAATGTTGAATTGTTAAGATGGTGTTGATGGAGGAAAAATGTGTCTATTTTATTTAAGTAACGTTATGGAGGAGGTTTGCTTTGGTTTTATGTCTTTAAATGATGGGATATAACTTGACATAGACAACTACTATATTTTGAAAGAAAATGAAGTTCAATCAGATATAATAAGCTGGACAGTACTTGGAAAAAATACATGTAAGAGGCTTTTTTATGCTTCTTCTTAACTGATAAATCATTATTTAAGGAGAATCCAGATTGGTTATCGAATGACATTAGTGTAGAAAATGCTAAAAAGTAAAAATTAAAAAAATGATTAAGATATAGTAATTATTAAAGCTATCTAACAAATCTGGATTTTTATAATGCGTGACAAAGTTAGTCAGCCCCTTTTTTTTTTAGACAAACCAATAAAATAGCCTGACTTTATATGAATAAGAATTAGTTCCATTTATATTATTTATTAAGCAGTTTAGTAGGAAATTCTACCAAAGACAAGAAAACACATGTAAACGTCTGAATATAAAGTCATTTCTCCTTATTTAAAGTAACAAACTGGTTTGTTAAAATATTGTTATCTCTTTTTATACATTTTATGTCACAAAGCACCAGCTATCTTTCAAATACCTGCGTATCTCAAGTCACTTAAGTTTATATATTTTGTCAATTGATTATACCGTATTTTCACGACCATAAGGCGCACCGGACTAAAAGGTGCACTCTCAGTTATGTGTCCCATTTCTGTATTTAACACACACATAAGGCGCACCGGACTATAGGGCGCGTTTTTTATATACAGGTACATGTCCTCTACTACCTTTAAATACCTCTACTGCGTATTTAAAAATACAGCGGGGGCAAAACTGAGTATGATTGTGCTTTATTCATGTATTTATTACAAAGTATTAATCAAACCTGGCAGCTGGCCGTGAGACAGACACATCGCAGATGACACAGCGCTGTGGTCACTCCTAAATTAACTTAAAATCCTGAAACCTGCCGACGGAATATGTGCGCTTTTATTACCGGTATCCTGGTGCCTGCAGTTTCAATTATTTAGATGAAAAACACCTGCCAGCAGCCGCGGTGAACGAAAGGATTTCTACTGTCGGTGCACCGCTGGTATGTGGGGGTCTGAGCGCCTCCGACAGAAATAGATAATCTGGATGAACTGACTGCAATTATGAAGTTTTCAGGTGGCCTTTCTCACTTAAAAACATATTAAAACTACTTTATTCCCACTGATCACAGCAAATATAGCTGCAAGATTTAGATTATTTAGATGAAAAAACACCTGCCAGCCACCGCGCTGAAGAGGAGGAGACGCGCCCAGAGGCTGCTGCTGAATTAAGTTTTCAGGTAGAAAAATAGAGCGGGAGCAAAACTGAGTATGATTGTGCTTTATTCATGTAAGCTATTTATTACAAAGTATTAATCAAACCCATCAAAGTCATCATCCTCTGTTTCTGAATTAAACAGCTGCGCTAAATCAGACATGCCAGTTTCCCCTTCTGCGCTGTCAGTCACTTTCCGTGCAGCGCAGCTCCTCAGAAATAATGCCGGCTTTTGCAAAAGCTTGAAGAACAGAGCCAGCAGACACGTTATTCCAAGCATCTACAATCCATCCGCTAACGGTGGCGTAACTTGCCCGGCGCTGCCTTCCACTTATCCTGAAACTGTGGTCTCTGTCGGCCATCCATCGCTCCCACGCCGCTCGCAGCCTTACTTTGAACGGGCGCTTCACACCGATGTTGGGCGGTTGAAGTTCCTTTGTCAGACCTCCCGGGATAACAGCGAGCACAGCGTTCATTGATTCACCTTTTTTTTCACATCGGCTGTGAGATGGGCACGCAGCGATGGTGATGCGTGGAAAAAAGCACCTGGTCTCCTCACATAGGCTACACCTCCCTCAGCCACGCTTTCATCATCTCCTCTTTCATCAGAGCGCTGTGTCTGTCTAGCTGTCAGCTCCCAGATCAGCTTCTCTGATTGGTTGATGCGGCGCGTCCAGCAGCAAAACTTAAAATTTTCCATCTCGAGCAGCAGCAGCGCGTTGGCGGTGCGTCAGATGCTTAAACGATCCCGACGTGCTGCACCTGCGGCTCAAAACGCGCTGCAGGACCTTTTGCTGCACCTATACGCGCGTCAACCATTGACTTTGCATGTAAACTCGCTGCTTCTGCTGCACCTGCTGGGTCCGGTTCACACCGATGTCGAGCGGTTGAACAGCGAGCACAGGGTTAATTTGTTTCCCCATGTTTTTCACATCAGCTGTGAGATGGGCACGCATGGAGTCACAGATTAATGGTGATGAGTGGGAAAAAAAACACCTGGTCTCCTTACATTCAGCCACTCTTTCATCATCTCCTCAATGAGGTGGTCTCAAAAGTCGCAGTTACAACACACATAGGGCGCACCGCACATTTTGAGGGGAAAAAAAGACGTTTAAGTGCGCCTTATAGTCGTGAAAATACGGTAAGTCTGCTCTAGACAGCTGCTTGAGGTGAACCTCAATCTCTCTCCTGGTAATAGTAGCTTGAAATTCAGTCTCCAAGTTGTGATGGATATTTGAGAAAGAAAGAATCCTTGCTGTTAACATGTTTTCTTTTGCTTTTAATGTACTGCTTTTATTTGACTTTTATTTTTTGCCACAGGTGTTATTACAAAGTATGAGTTGTATCTCCGTGGGCCTTTGGAAATGAACCAAGTGTCAAGTTTTAACTCTGAGAGGAGAGTTTTCTTCAGCTCTGGTTGGCTGGATCCAAGTGTCGTCCCACAACCAAAGCCAGCCAAGAGGAGTTCATTGTCTGCCCCTAAAAATAGTACCATCATAGAGGGTCTTCAGGCATTTTCAGTTTATCAGCTGAGAGTTGTTAGCATCAACAGGGCTGGAAATGTTTCATCGGATTGGACCACTGCACACACCTTGGAGGGAGGTTTGTGCTCCCTGCTTTATCTTTCTAGTATTGGGTCTAAACATCTCTTTCTATACTCAATAGAGCATTATATACATTATACAAAGCAGTATGTCTGATATTTAGTAGAATGTGAGGGGAAAGTAAAGACATTAAGAATTGTTTTACTTGTGTTATTTGGAAATCATGTTTTAGGAATCCAGTTAAAAAAATAAACACCATTCATCTCCTAAGAGTTGTTTCACAGTACCTAAGTAGTTAATGTTACTGGCTTATTATTAGCTCAGTCCTCATCTGAGTAGTGTTTGCATCAAGTTTTATTAAATGATAACAAATAATGAGACATTAGCAGTTTAAAATATGTCCACACTGAAGTGTTTTTTCAACAAAGCGCATACTGATTTTTATTTTTTTTGCTAGCAAAATCTCAAAATTTATTTACCACAAAAGGAAGCCATAAGATTTTTAATTCACTCTTTGTAAAGCACTTTACTTTGATGATTTAGTTAATTTAGACTATGGAGGAGTCCTTTGTTTACCCGATGATATGGGGCAAAAAATGAAGAAATATAATCAAAAAGTAAAAAGAAAAACGAGGGATAACTGTCAAAAGGATATAAAAAAGAGAAAGGGAAATAAAAAAGTGCATGTGGAGGAGGGGAAACTCATTAAGGTATTTGAATTTCAAAGAGATTATATGGCTCATTAGGACTAAATGATTGCCTCCAACATCACTCTCAGCTATGTGTCTGGATAACAAGCATATGATAACATGATTTAGATGTGAAATGCGTGCCAGGGTTGTAGCACGTGCATATGCACTGTGGATGGTAAAAAATCTAACAGTGGTTGTGTTGACCATAAATCAAATTTCATAGCATATTTCACAGTTTGATGCCATCAATGGTGAAATAAAGAATTTACCTCTTTAATCTGTCGTGTAATTGTGGCTATCACAACCATAGAATTGTTCAACACTCAAATCCAATGACAGACATCTGGTTCGGCAGTGTTGTAGTATCTTTGCTGGAATTTTCTTGTATTAAATGATTAATGAAATCTCAGTTTGAAAATGCAATGATGCGATATTTGGATTCTATAATACATAACCTTAAATTACTGAAAGAAGAAGTATGTTTTTCAAATAGATAAAATATTAAATGTTTGGTTAGCATGTTTTACCTGCTCCAGTTTGCTGTAACTCATGGTGGAAATCTTCTGGTGTCCCTCTCCAGTCCCAGAGTTTGTGGCTCCTCCAGATGTATCTGCACTATCATCCAGCTGCCTCAACATTACATGGAACTCTACTGAGGGTTATGGCATCATTGCCAGAGGGCAGGTCATGGAGTACAGAGTCAATTTACTAACTGAGCAATTCTCCAATCCCTATGCTCCTCCTGTTGTCAGTCAGGTGAGCTCTTGCCCACAAGTACTTATATATATATGAGATATGACGGAAACAAGGCATTTTTTTTTTTTTTACCAAATATTAATTTTTCATAAAATATTTGTCAGAATAGGGTTAGTGTTTCGTTATGTAGCTCTTCTTTCATTTTTTTGTACATTCTTTAAAATTTTCTGATTGGCTCATCCCTTTATGAATGCTCATATTTTGTTTCCAGGTCTTGCATAGAATGGGGCCATCATCACTGCCTGCTTACATCGTTCAAGGATTGAAACCGTACCATGTGTACAACTTCACTATCACGCTGTGCACAAGAATGGGTTGCATTACAAGTACACCCAGCTCAGGGCGGACCTTACCAGCAGGTAGGAGAAGATGTATTTAAAGAAACTTACTAAAAGAATCAAATACTTCTCGGGTGTTATTTTGTCAGGTGATGGATTGATTAAAATTTTCTTTCTATGAAAAACATTTAGGCTTTAGTTATTAAAGATCTATAAGTTATAAACTCTGAGTTTTAACACTGATTAAAAGCTGGATAAGAAATTAAAAAGGATTTAAACAACAAAAGCTTAGACATTTTCTACCATTTTAAATTTGATGATTAGGCCTGTCGCGATAATCAATAAATCAATTAATCACACAATAAATAAAAACTATCCACGTCATTTAATTTATCGGCTATATCGTCTCTGCCTGTATTTTTCTCTTTCTATTGATGATGCTGGATTAAAAGGCTTAACTCCGGTGCTATCCACTGACCCCTCCCCTTCATAATTTTTTAGAAAGGGAAAAAATGAGGAGGAAGGAGGAGTGGACTATCGCATCAGGTAGTCAGCGCACATCATTGTCCACTTCTGCAGCTTTAGAGCCCCGTGAGGAGGCGTGATAAAAAAAAAAAAAAAAACACATCCTATGTTTGGGGGAAAAGCTCGAAATGGAACTCGTTTCAAAGCTGAACGCAACAGCGGCAGTGTGGGAGTATTTCGGATTCAAACCAAATGACCGAGGCGAACCGATGAACCTATGCGAGCCAGTATGTCGCATTTGTCATAAAACAGTAGCAACTAAGAGCAGCAATACAACCAACCAATACATACAGCTAAAGCACAGCCACCCAGCAAAGTTTCTCCAGCACGGGACAAAAACTTTAAGCGGTGGCCCGTCTGCGTCTTTAAGTTCACGACAGTCCACCATCACTGAAGCAATTAATCGACAGGCAGCATACAAAAAAGACAGCGCAAAGTGGCGCACACTCACAGACAGCATAATTAATTTAATTGCTAAATGGATGCTCCCATTTAATATTGTTGAAAAGCTGGCATTTCGAAAAATTTTGTAGTTTTTATTTCCACTGTGGTTTTATCTTGTGTTTAGTTTTTATTCAAGTGTATTTTTAGTTAACAGAGACTGAGAGTCCATTTGATTTTTATTTCTCTTTTTAGTTTGTTTACCAGTTCCAGTGTTTAAGTGTTGTTGAAAATAAAGTGTGTTTATCTTTGGCAGGAATAGCATGCATTATTACGTTATCTCCATTGAATAAGTGTAAAAAGGTCTTCAAACAATATTATCATTCTATCGCAATCATGTTTGAGACAATTAATCGTTCAGCAAAATTTGTTATCTTGACAGGCCTATTGATGATGATGTTTTTAAATCCTATGGAAATTATTTTCCACCACTGATGAATCTAAAAACATTAAAACATTTTAAAGGAACTTGAGCCTGTAAAGAGTGTCATGTCGACTCCCCCAATGAGTGTGACTTGAGCACATGGAAGTATTAAATTATCCCCCAAAAAACCACAAAGGTATATAGCAAATCAAATACGGGAATACTGATATCATGAAAAGTGACAAAATTTTTCCTGCTATATAGCAATGTAGGATATTAATGCTTCTTACCTGTACACATACACACTAGCACGTTTAGGGGGCAGTCAGTCATTGCATGCTTGAGTGGTGACAGCATTGGTCATGCTAACCAGAGGGGATATTATGGTGCCAGCAGTAAAAACAATTTACTGTTAATTACAAAGAGAAAAATGTGGCGTAGCACACACTTCCTGCTGGTCATGAATCAGACACACACAGAGTTAGAGAAACACACAGTTTGTGTCTCTGGTTCTTCTCTGTAGATGAATAATGTGTAGAATTTAGATTAACTTCCATTTTTTTTCAAATTGACAAGGGAATACATAAGATTATATTTAGGTTTTAAGCTTATTTAATTGCCCTAATAGATTGCCTATAAAAAATTTGTCAAAACCTTCCATATTTACACAGCTTATACTTCTATTCCATCTTTTTTTAAATTCACAATAACACATAGTATCACAGGAGTATAAAAAACTGCCCACATGATATTTTAGAGGCTCTGCATTTCCTTCTTTAAAGATCAGATACAGGCAAAACTGATACTAAAAAGTGTCAATAAATGCATGCTCTTAGATTTCTTTGAACAAGCTGTTCAGCGCTACATTTTAAGTATTTGTGTCGCTCAAATAGTAATTCCTCATGTGTATAGCAATGAAAGATCTCTTGCACTGTAATCGGTTGGCTGTTTAAATGTATTTTTAATGGCTACATCTGTTGACACAGTGACAGAGTTTATTTCAAGTGATTTCAAAGACTTCTCTTGACTGTAATACTGTACAATTCAGTATGGCATATTGTACCCAGTTGACTCATTCAGTGTATTTTTAACAGCCACATCTGTTGCCACGGTTTACTTTCATCTTATGCCAAAGATGTCCCTTGGTTCCACTGTAAGAAATGATAATGGCATGCTGTTCTGTAGAGTTTTTGCTTTCTTATTTGTTTCTATGTTTTATCTCATTTCAATCTGCATAGTATGTGCTTCCCCTCTGGGTATTCAGACTTTGTAATTGCACATTTTATACTACACTATATCCAATATTGTAGCTAAATAAGGGGCTTATATTTTAATTAAATCAGCTTATTATATTATTGATATGATCTGTATTGCAATATAAATTGTTGATTTACTGTATCTTACATATATATTATAGTCAGTTTTTTAAACATACAACTGTAAGTCAAAATTTATTTAACTAACATCTTTAGTTCTCCTGAAACAGACGTTTTCTGGTGAAATGTATTATAATATTGAGTTGTGTGTCTGGTAAGACGTACTTAAGCATGCTGCAGATGCACTGATAAATGTCCCTTACATAAGCCTGGACCATTAGAGTCAGCTACCATCTGCTGTAAGTGAGGAGACAACATCTGTGAAACTGCTGGAATTACACCGAAGAACATGACTAAATGTTTGCGCACACATGGTGGCAGACATAATGAGACAAGGAAGGAGATCTTCTTCTATGTGTGTTGATGCATTTGCCATGGTTTCGATGGTGTGCGTCTCCCTACAGGTTATTGATCACATTGTAAAGTAAGTGGCTAATCAGGGACTGATTGTTATGTTTTATGTATCCTACATCCATAACCGCTTGTTCTACAAGACATATGCACAGAGAGACATGTGCACATACACGCTTACGGTGTAACACCACTCAACAGAACAGGAATTTTATTGATTTATGCATAACTGGCCTGAGGCCCTTCCTGAGAAAAGAAATATGCAAGACAAGGGATCACAATGTCAATAAGTGGTCTACTTTTGGTACATGGTGTAGCTGTAAGGTAAGAGTTTACTAGGACTTGTGGGTCAACAGGAGACACACACAAACCTCAGACAACTGCTCATTGGAGCAGGCTCATGATTTAGCTGGTTCATTACTATTTTACTAGCTAAAATCAAGCTTTTAGGTGGACTGTTAGCTTTGTGCATGTGTTTTAGATAACACCTGGTAAGGCAGGCTCTCATTAAACTGTGTTTCTGAGCAACATTTGAGTTAGCCAACAAGCACATATAATAGCATCATGATAGATATGAAAGATGGGTCACTCACTAAAATTGTTTCAGCATTATTATGATGAATTCAGTGTTAACATCGTTAAAGTTTTCAACATTAATCTAATGGTTTTAATTAAAAAGTAAATATTTTTTTGTCAAGATTATATGAAAATCTCTTTTTGTATCTGTGCTGACCTGTCTTAATAATAGTCCTTATGCACTATTAATAAATTTAGACTTAGACAGATTTATTTTGTCACAAGTGTAAACAAAAAGAAATTTAGTTAAGAACAGCTCTCTAGACAATCTCGTTTTTTTTAAAGTGCAGCCTTGATGAGGTAAGCAGCGGTGATTAAAAAAAAAATCCATTTTGATATTAAGTCACTATATCTAGTTATGGAATGCATATAATTCATGTTTGCTTGGCAGCAGTGATGTCAGATGGATCTGGATAGGATCTTACCATACAAATAGGATTTTTAGCCTGGTTGAAGAGGATCTGATGCTGGAGCATTAGGGGCCTTTTTGCCTGGGCTTCACCCCATCAGTTGTTGTTGAGCTGCTACTACTGCCTCCAGCTCCTGAAGCACTCGCTTCTCCTGGCTCAGGGGAGGAAGAGGATGATGATGACGATGCTGTAAGGGTGGTAGCCACCTGGGTTGAAGAGGCTGACGCTGTTGAAGCACCGACAGACGATGCTGGAGAATGTGTGGAAGCTGGAGGAGCCGGCTGGGGATGTTTCAGCATTTGGCAGGGGAACATCTAGAGTGCTCTCCTCATTTTCACCCGCAGAGGGCTTTGCTTCCCTTCTAGATGTTGAAGATTGCCTGGGAACAGTCTCAGAGGAGTTTCCATTCACACAGAGCTCATTGTTTCTATCGGCGCAGTATAGCATTAGCCCCTTCAGGCTAATAGCATTGTCCGTCAGAATGATGGCAGGTACATATCTCCTTTTTTGAAGAGAGTTCGAGTCGGAGATTATCCATTTTGTTTTTCAACGTGCGGACGTTGGAGAGCAGCATTGATGGAAGCGGTGTTTTGTGGGGATCTCTCTTTAGCTCCGCAGTTAGCCCCCCTCTGCAGCCTCGCTTTCACTGTGACGCGCATCTCTTTCGCCGTTTTTCCACTGTTGTTTTGTTTACATTCGTCCATAGCACCCTGCTGCTTTTTATATGGTCAAAAATGTCAGTATTTAAAACTGAGGTGGCAGTCGCACCTCTCAGGGAGAAAGGCGTATGCCTGGCAACTTATATAGAGCAGAGCAGTCCCAGTGGAGCTCATGATGCATGCAGAGATGCTTACATCGCATCTGACAGCTCTAAGATTTTTGATAGAAGGGAGAAGAGCATTTTAACCCCAGTGCAAACTATCACTTTTATTGGTCTGTCCCTGAACTCAGAGTTCAGAGCGTGCCTTTCGGTGAAAAGAGTGGAAGCCTTTCAGGCTTGTCTGGCACTCTTTCTTAGAGGTGCACATGTGAAACTCA